CCTTCCTTCCTTCCTCCCTCCCTCCCTCCCTCCCTCCCTCCAAGTTGATTTAGGTGTAACTTACATATCATAAAAATTACCAATTTTGAAATATGCAACTTGAGTTTTGACTACAATCACATAACCACAGCCATTATATAATAGAATATTTTCATCATCTCAAAAAGTTTCCTTGGGACACTTTAATTCAATTTACTCCCTCAACTTCCTGTCCTCTAAGAACAACTGATCTACTTTTTATCACTATAGTTTTGCCTTTTCTAGAATTTCATGTAAATGGAATCAAAAGGTATCGTAGTCCTTTGTACCTGGCTTCTTAAATGTAGCACCATATTTTTATGACTCATCCTGTTGCATTTATCAATCTTTTTTACCTTTTTATTGCTGAGTAGTGGTCAATTATATGGCTCTAACACAATTTGTTTATCCATTCATCAGTTGGAGTTTTGGTTGTTTTATGCTTAGGACTATTATGAATAAAGCTGGTATAAACATTTGTGTACATATTTTCATTTCTTTTGGGTAAATACCTACGAAAGTAATTGCTAGATCACATGGTAAGTGCATGTTTAACTTCGTAGGAAACTGCCAAACTGTTCTCTTAAGTAGCTATATAATTTTGCATTACTACCAGCAATGTATGAGTTCTGGTTCCTCACCAAATCTGGGTATTTTTGATTTTTAAATATTATCGATTTTAGTGGCTGCATAGTGAGTGGTATTTCATTGTGATTTTAACTGCATTTTCCTGATGTCTGTGATGTTGGACATCTTTCCATGTGCTTACTTTCAGTTCCTGTATCTTCTTTGGAGAAGTGCAAACATTTTTGCACGTTTTAAAAACTGAGTTGTATGAGTTTGTATATATTCTGGATGAAAGTCGTTTATCAAATATGTTCTGCAAATATTTTTTCTTACTTTGTAGCTTGCCTTGTAGTTTTCTCAAATGTCTTTCAAAGAGCAAATATTTTTAATTTTGGTGAAATCCAATGTATTTTTTCCTTTATAGTTCATGTTGTCTCCTATATAAAAAATTTGCCTTACACAAAGTCACTAAGATTTTCTCCTATGTTTTCTTCCAGAAGTTTTATACTTTGGGTTTTTACGTTGAGGTCTACATTCATTTTGACTTTTATATTTTGTTTTATTTTTGTTTTGTTTTTACGAGGGTTGAAGAGTCACAGTTAATATTTTGTATGTGCAAAGCCAGTTGTTCCACATCATTTTTTGGAAAGATTACCCTTCTCTTCCATTGAGCTATCTTTGTAGAAATTTGAGTATATTTTCTATTGTATTCCATTGATTTGTCTTTCTTAACATCAATACCACACTCTCTTAATTATTGTGGCTTTATAATACATCTTGAAATCAGGTAATGCTAGTCTCCCAACGTTGTTGTTTCAAAATTGTTTTGTCCCTCTAGATTCTTTGCATTTCCATTTAAATTTTAGAATCCAACTGTTAATTTCAGTAGAAAAGCTTTGTAAGATTTTGACTAGAATGGGATTGAATAGATCAACTTGAAGAGAATGGACATTTTCATAGAGTCTTCCAATCTATGAGCATATTCACTCTCTCCATTTAATTAGCGTTTCTTTTATTTATCTTAGCAATATTTTGCACTTTTCCATGGAATGTTTTTACCAGAACCTCCTAGTTCCATTCGTCCCAATCCTACCTGACCTCTTCAGAGCCCAAACACTGGACCATTCCCTCTTTCTTGAGGTTCCTTCCTCCCTGGAATTTGTGTCCTCATCTGGTCCTTGTCTTTTTTCTCTCCCTTAGATTGCCTGTCCCTGTTCCCTCACAGGTGCTTTCCCTGTTTCACATAACCACAGGGGAACAACTGAAGCTGATCATTGATACTCCCGGTGGCTGTAGTTTCATGGTCAGCTGTGTGTGGTGAAGACCTGTTCTGGAAGGAAGTCTTCTCTTTGGATCTTTTAGAAAACAGTCTGCCTTCCAACAATTGTGGGATGATGATATAAAAAAGTGTATTAAAAAAATACCATTCTTGGAGTGGGTGAGCCTGGAGATTAGAGAATTGCCATGTTAGAAAACCTAGAAGTTCTGTAGGTTTTCCTACTCACTATCTCAGCCTATTGAGATCTCCGCAGTTTTGAGTTACTTCCTTTTTTGGCTATGCCCACTTAAAAATACTGAAATTCACATAAAATTAACCACTTTCAAATGGACAGCTCAGTGACATTAACACATTCACAGTGTTGTACAACCACCACCTCTACATAGTTCCAAACCATTTCCGTCACTGTTAAGTAAAACTCCTTACCTGTTAAATGGTCTCTCCCCATTCCACTCCTCATCAGCCCCTGGCAAACACCAATCTGTGTTAAGTCTCTATGGATATATCTATTCTGGATCTTTGAAATTAATGGAATCAATCATACCATATGTGTGAATTTTTGTGGCTGGCTTCTTTCACTTAGTAAAATGCTTTGGAAGTTCTCGAGTCACTTTTCAACCATTCTATTTTGTTAAACTGTTCTCTTTCACTTAATGGGAATCCCTAGTTACCCAATCTATGTGATGAACCTTTAGTAAATAATCAACAATAGTAATAGTACTGTGTAAACAGCAATGATGCCTTAAGGATACTGATGAGTGCTATTTGGCTCTTGGTTCTCCGAGAGTTGGCCTCAAGTGAGGGCAAAGTTACACTAAAAATGAGATATTTCATGAAGGAGGAGGAGGGAGGAGGGAGAAGGGAGAAGGGAGAAGGGAGAAGGGAGAAGGAGAAGGAGGAGGAGAAGAAAAAAACTATAGAATATTCCAAACTAAATTCCTAAAGGAAAAAAAAAAAAAAAAAACACAGAGAAAGACAGGAAAAATCGACTACCGTTTGAGAGCCAGCTGTGGAAGCCCGCACACCCGCGCAGTGGAGGTAGAAATTGCATGCTGTCTCCACGTTTAAATCCTGACTGAACCAGTCCTGCCCAGGCATACTGCACCTATCCGGCACGGTGGAGAAACGCTATGAACCCAGTGCTTAAAATCAGAAGGGCACAGCCCGGAACTCCCTAGCTCTCCCCGACTCCCACCCCCAAAATCTTCCTAGCTCTGAATTATTTTGTTTTGTCTTGTGGACTGGGTGTTTGATATTTTTAGATGAGAATTGAAAGATTATGGCAGCACATTTAAACGCACAAATACACAAAATGTCTACAACAGATGCTATTTTAATCTTCACAGGAGCATTATAACATAAGGGTCTGTCTTCATTTTATCCCTTTCTCTTCCTCTTTTTTTGTATCTGGTTATTGCGTAGTACAAACGAAATGACACCCTAAACAACACTTTTCCCATCTGCCTTCCTCAATGGACTGTGAGCATCTAAAGACACGTCCTATCTGCTATACAGCACGAATTTTGCAAGGCGACTCCTACCACGTTACAGGTCCAGGACAAAGAGCGTTTTTTGATTTGAAAACCCGACAGCCCGGAGCAGCCCCAACCGAAAACCGAAGACGCAGGACCCGCCCCGCAACCGTAGCCCAGGCTCCGCCCCCTGCGCTCATTGGCCCATTCAATTCACGCCGGGGCCAATGGGCGGCGGCGGCCGCCGCGCCTCCTGAAAACCAAGACCCCGGCGGCGTACGCAGTGAGCAGAGGCTTCAACTAGAGGGATCGCGAGGCAGTTAAATCCGAGACGAATCGTCCTATCCCGCACTGCGATGAGCACCCCTGTCGTGCCCTCGGATTTGCAGCTTCACCTGAGTCAGAGGACCCATCCCGGGTTCAGAGGTGAGGGCCGCGGTAGCGGGATTGGCGCGAGCCGGCGGGCGGGTGATTTCCTTGGGGAGCCGGGGGTGGCGGGCGTCGGGGCGGGCGGAAGGAGGGCAACTCGGGATCAGCCGCCAGGGCCTTGGGTCTGCAGACCCGCATCGACCCCGACCAGTCGTATGAGACCCTTAACGGTCACTTGGCTTCTGGTAGCTGTATTCTTGACAATGGTGCCGGCTCCGTGGTGGTATTGTGCGGCTTGAGGCCTAGCGTACGGTCGTTACCGGCAGGACTTGGCCCTCTGGCGGCGGAGACTGGCCGACCGTCAGAGACTCTGTTTAGGCCGGGGGCGCCTGTCAGGCTCAGGTTGGGGCCTGGGCAGGTGTCCGCCCGCGTCCTCCCGCAGAAGCGATTGCGCCTGTGCGGGGCAGTCCGCCGGTCTGAGTTGAGAGCGACTTTCTGGAGGGTTGGGGTTGTCTCAGCTGGTTCTCCCTGTTTAACGCCCTCGACATTGTATAAATCTAGGGTTGGCTAGGTTTTCGGAAGTAATATTGTTATTTCTTTGGCTTACACGTGGGAAAACAGAAAAAAGAAATTCTCCCTCAACCCAGTTCTAGTGAATTCGAATTTCGAGTCTAGTTAGTATTTCATCTCTACTATTTGGTTTCCTAAAGCTTGGCTTTTAGTAACCGTATGTTGAAAATGATCTTCAGGTGTTACACTTTAAGACAGTAGATAATGTGATTCTTGTGCAGAGCGGTTGTGGGACCTTTTATGGTAACAGTCTCTTATAAATGGGATTAACTCTCAAAGGCAATACTGAATTGGGAAATTTTCTGTTATATACAAGATGTGATCATAAGTAGAACATTTTTCGAAGCAAGATCTTCATTTAGTCAATATTTATTTGAAGTTATTGTAACTAATGTTGACTTGTAGCTCTTTTGTTACTTAGAACAAAGAAAACAAAAACTCAAGGAACATCTGCTCAAAAGAAAAACTTTTTCTGCATACAAACAAGAAAATCAAATATCCAGGTGAGGTCAGATTTTTTTATTTCAGATCCATAAAATTATATCAGAGCTGCCCAATAAAAATGTAATATGAATCACATGTGTAATTTAAAATTTTATAGTAGCCATATTTAAAAAGGTTTTTTAATGGAATGAATTTTAATAATATTTTATTTAATCCAGCATCTTGTGTTACCATTTCAACATGTAATACTTAAAAAATTATTTACATTCTTTTTTGGTACTAAGTTTTCAAAATCTGTGTATTTTATACTTTCAGCATATCTCAGTTTGGACTAGCCATATTTTAAGTCCTCAATAGCCCCATGTGGCTTAGTGGCTCCTTTCTCAGATGATACAGTATTAGATCATTTCCTGTGTAAATTAATTCACACTTTAAGAGGAAACAATTAATTTTAAAGCAAAGTTGTATATTTACCAAAATACTGACTTATAGTTTATATAGTGCTACAAAAGCCAGTCTTTCTATAATTTAGCAACGTTTTAGTGAATGTGTGTGTGTCTGTTCGTGGCAGGGGGAGGCGAGGGTAGAGTATTGTTCTTTAGGAGGTGGCCCTCCTTTTAAATGTTTGGAAATCATTTGTTTTAGCTCAGTCTTCCATAGGAATATAGTTGTATTGTTTTGTTAAAATTTTAAAAATAGTACAATAAAACAACTATAAAGCAGAAAATCAAAAAGTCCCCTCACTCTCTTGAGATAACTGCTAGTAACATCCTTCCAGGCTCTTTCTGTGCAATCTACGAGTGATAAGGAGCTGGGCTAGAATATTAAGTCTGCCACTACAACTGTGTAACCTCAGAGGAGTTACATAGCTTCTTTGAGTCTATTTACTTATATTAAAATGGGATAATAATAGGTGTTTTTCTTGGGTATTAAATGAGATAGGGAGTGCATTATGCTGTGTCTGGAATATGAGAGCCTAATAAGTGTAGCTATCATTTCCTGATCTCTTGGTGGTTTTACAACAGTGGTTCTTAAAATACTTTATTCTGCTGGTGTTCCTAATTTTCTCCCAACATCATTGTCATTCTCATGTTTTTTTTTTTTAAGTCTTGTTTTAATTTGCATTTTCTTTGTGTTAGGTACTTATTGATATATTTTGTCATTATGAATGCTTCACACCCTTTTTTATGGTAGAAAGTGCTTATATTTAGGAGATAGAGCTGATAGGACTTGGTAATCAATTTAGTATGGGATATAAAAGAAAGAATGGAGTTAAAGATGATCCTGAATGTTCCAAATTAAAGGAGACTAAAGAGATGTGACAACTAAATTCAATACCTGACCCTGTAGTGGAAAGGGAAATGCACTAAAAGACACTATTGAGTCAGTTTTCTACTAGAATATGAATAGTAGATTAAAGTGGTATGTCAATGTAAACTTGTGAATTTGATACTATGGTTATGTAAGAGAAAATCCCTATTTTTAGGAAATAAACACTGAAGTATTTAGGAATAAAAGGCCATTGTGTATATAACTTAACACAAAAGGTTCAGGTGAAAAATTGTATATACTCCACACATACACATGTTCAGAAAGTGCAAATGATAATACAAGTAGAATAAAATGTTAACAATAGGCAATTCTGGGTAAAGACTATATGGACATTCTTTGAACTATTTATAATTCTGCAACTTACAAGTCTGGCATTCGCAAATTTTTTTAAATTTTAACTTTAATAAGCTGCTTTACTTTGGAATAAACATTTTCACAAATCCCACATTCTTTGTTTAAAACAAACAAAATAATGATCTGAGACTTGATTTGAATAATTGAGTGCATAGTGATACAACATATTGAGAGGGGAAGACTGAGGGAGGAGTGGAGGAATTAGGAGTTCTTTTTTGACCAGGTTAAGTTTGAGGCACCAATAAGGCATCCAAGTGAAATGTCAAATAGTTATGTGTCTGAAGTTCAGGGGTGAGATTGACACTGGAGATATTAACTTGGAAATTGTCAACGTGTAGATATTTAAAATCTGGGGTGGAATGAGATTACTAGAGAATTAGCAAAGAATATTAATTCAAATAAGACAATGATTCTCAATTACTTAAATAAAGAAATCAACAGGGTCATGGGGTATATAATACTCTTACACACAATAGAAAGAAAAAATTCTAAAACTCTAGTTTTACCAAGAAACCCCGTAAGTACTATATTTACTCTTTTCAGAAAACAGATGTCAATTTAAATACTATTACTTGAGCAACAAATTAAGTAGACAACCAATCAGAGTAGCAACTTTTCACAATTAAACAATTCTATTTTACAGTCTTTAGTGTGGATATTTTAAGACTCCTTTATTCAGATCACCCTTCTGAGGGCAATTTTATCAACAAGATAGAATAGGGTTATACATTCTCATTAAAGTCTCCACACTGGACACATGAGTAAGGTGGGGATACTTCTTATTATCCTGAGATTTTTTTTTTTAAAGGTTTAATCATCTTATTTTTATCTTTTAAAAAAATTGAGTTATGGTTAACATACAATATTATATTAGTTTCAGGTATACAACATAGTAATTTGATATTTTTATACATTATGAAATGATCACCATGCTAAGTCTAGTTGCCACCTATCACCACACAAAGTTATTACAATATTATTGATTATATTCCCCGTTCTGTACATTATATCCCTGCGACTTCTTTTAAGACTGGAAATTTGTACCTCTTAATCCCCTTCACAAATTTCTACTGTCTCCCTACCCTCTTCCTCTCTGGCAACCACCAATTCATTCTCTGTATTTTAGAGTCTTTCTGATCATCTTGAGAATTTTTCACTAGCAGTTAGAAAGGCCAGCAATTTCAAGACTAAACACTAGAATTCTGTTAGCACTAACCAAAAATGAGCATTCCCTGAGAAGTATAAAACTAAAATAAAAAGGCAAAAGAAAAGTTTAAATTTTAATGTGGCCTTGAGCCCCAGCAAGGTTAGGGGAAAGAGAGACTTAAAAGAGGTGGACTACTGAGGTAAGAGGGAAAATAGAAGAATTAGTGATCCAGTAGCAAAGCCAAGAAAGTGTTTTAAAGAATAAATAGCTATCTGTTATCAATTGCTGTTGAAAGGTGAAGACAGAATTGACCATGAGTTGTATGTAAAACATGGAAGTGGATGACAAGAGTTTCAGTAGCATGGTAAGGACAAATTCCTGATAGGCACAGTTGAGGAGAGAATAGAATATGATCATGAGGAGACAGTACCTATAGCTCTCCTTTTGAGTTTTGCTACAAAGAAAAGAGCAATGAAGCAGTAGCTGAAATGGAATGTGAGGTTTAAGGCCTTAAAATGAGGTATAATACATAAAGTTTATAGGCCGATGGGAATGACCTAGTAGAGGAACAAATTAATGATGCTGAAGAATGAGCAAATAATCAGAGGAACAAAGTCCCTGAGTAGGCAAGAGGGAGAACACAGATGGAGAGTTTGACTCTAGATCAGCATTGGTGTCAGTTCATATATTAGGAGGGAAGGCAGAGTATATGGGTACAGAGGCAGATAGGCTGGTAGTCTTTGGTGGAGGAAAGACTAATTCTTGTTAAGAGTGCTTCTAATTTTCTCAGTGAGATAACATCACAGAACATTTTAAGCCCAGAAGTAATAGAGGCTGAAATCAATAAGGGGCCTAATTAGTGAAGGTACCACATTGGGAGCAACCTGGTAGGTTGACCCTGAGCATCATCTCCCACTTCACACTAGACAGCAGACAAGAGGAGTATTTGTTTGCTCTCAGGTAGTGACAGCAGGAGCTGAAACTGGGGAGACATGTCTATGCTCTGGACCTCTGGCAATGCCTGAAAGGAACAGGAGGCACCCATATTCAAAAGATGGCTACCAAGATACCCTGTGCAGTGGCACATTTTGACGATTCTCTGCCGTCATTCAAAATGTGTAACACAAGCTACATCTCCAAGCAGACTGAGCAAATAAATGTAAAAGGTGTTAGAACCAAAATTATCAACTGTAGAGTCAGCAAATTTTGTTGACTCCAAAATATATGTTTTTTTCACATTTAAACATCTCTGAACTTAGGATCTATCTTAGATTCAATGGCATCTAATTGACCCTGTTTTTTTCTTCATGGAATGACCCTGTTTTTCTCTTTACTTGCCAAGAGATTCTCATGGCCTGTACTAAGCAGTCTGTCTTCAAAAAAGGGTTTAGTTTGAGTCAAATTCTTGAGGAGGGATTTTCTTTGGGTCTGTAAGTCCTCTTTTTTTTTTAAATTAAATTTATTGGGGTAACACTGATTAATACAATTATATAATTTTCAGGTATACATTATAATTTGACATCTGTATATTCTATTGTGTGTTTACCACCCAAAGTCTAGTTTCCTTCAGCTACCATATATTTGATCTCTTTTACCCACTTCCCCCTCCCCCTATCACCCTATATTTGACCCCCTTTACCCTGTCTACCTCTCCC